TAAAAAGTATCTCGTTGAAGAACGAGATTTCAATGCGATTGCAATAATTATCTCTTTTTCCTAATAACTTTCATTGCAAAAAATAGCGCTACAGACTTTTCTATAAATATGTTTCTATGTTTGTATGTATGTATCTGTATGTATATGTCTGTATATGTGTATTCATACATACTTGTATGCATGTATGTATGTGTGTTTATATATCTGTATATGTGTATCTATATATACTTGTATGCATGTATGAATGTGTGTATATATTTATTATACTTTAACCGAAATCTGTTATATAACAAATTTAACACATTTATATATATATTTATATATATCATCTAGTAACCAAAATCAATAGCTAACGCCAGAATTTAGAAAATCATTTTACTATGTATATACATATACATACATGTATATATATATATATATATATATATATATATATATACATATATATACATATATATACATATATATATATGTATACATATATATATATGTATACATATATCATTAGCGTTCTCCATGTATCTAAAGCTGCATAAATCTATTCTTTGTATTTTTTTTTTCCTTTTTCTCTCTTAGATTTTAATTCCTTATGTTTTATAAATCTTATCGCTTACGTTAAAAAAAAAAAAGTCTATCAATTTAAGTAAGCTCTTAAAAAAGCTTAAATCTGAATTACAATATACAAGCAGTAACAAACAAATGCGCGGACACATACACACGCATACTTATTATTCACACAATCATGCATACATACTTATATTAAAAACTCTACCTTTAAAATGTACTCACCCTTAACAACTTTCAACGTATTATTTGTAGAGAAGGGCATTTTGCTTCTCCAAATGGACAGTTATTATCATGGCCATTATCAGTAAGTAACACGTGAATGCTTAGTCAGGTCACACACAAACTAACTTGATAATCCGTTTAGTAGTTCGCCTTATGGTTTAAAGTTGATTCAGATTTATCCGCATTCTGACTGACAACCATGACAAGTTTTCTTCCTATCTCTAAAAAATACACATTTATATATATACTACCACTACCAGTGCTAGTACTACTACTACTGCTATTACTACTACTACTACACTTATATGTATATCTACTTTTGCGTATACACACATGCTTTTTGCACACACGCAAAACACACACACGCACACATCCACACCCACACACACACACACACACACATAGACTAACATACATTACGCATACACGCGAATACATAGGTTTTTATTGTTAAAGTTTGGCCATTTGGTTGTACTGCATCACTTTGTCTTTCATATTTCATTCACCGTACATTCTTTATTTTCCCGAAAATGACGTCATCGCGGCATTACCTGACGTGTTACTATTGTTGTTAGAAGAAGAATTGGAGGAGGAGGAGGTTGAGGAAGTGTTAATTTGTGGCGGCAAGGTATCACAGCGTCTATAGTACAGTAGATAAGGCACACGTGGTGTGCGTGGCACTAGTACATGATTTTCACTAACTGGCTTAACAGAACTGTCATCGTAACGTAACCAGCTACCATAACCTGTATGATAGACATCAGTTATGTAATGGCCTTTGGAGGCTTCTTTGCCATCATGATAAACTACAGCGAAGAGACGATAAGCTCGTTGTTTTTGTGAGTATTTTTTCGATGCAAGAATTTCTGTGAATAAAAGAGAGGAAACGAAAATAAATATTTTAAAAATTTCAGAAAATTAGATAACGATTTCGATATATTTCATTGATGTTCAGTTATAATATTTTCGATTCTTTTTGTTCCCATTGATGGTGTTTATTTACACCGACCAGGTTCATTCGACTTGCAGACAGACAATATAACAACACAGTGCCAAACAGAAAAAACCCCGCTATACATTTTTAACCTTTACAACTCTCAATAGTTGTTGACTGAAACGAACTGTGACAGTTACTTTAAACCGAATTTTTGCAAATGTTTCAAATTATTTTCATTGCAACTAATTGCATCAAATGGAGAAGGAAGAGTCCACATAGATAGATAAAGGCAAAAGTATGGACGGTAATATTTTCCATTTTTATTGTCATATATATATTTGGATAATTCCTCTCTCTGTCTCTCTCTTTTGTTATGAAAACAACATCTCTAGATGAAAGCCAGAAGATCTCCAAAGAAAATTTTCTGGTATCGTTAAATAAGATAAGAAAAAAAATGGTAAGTTAAACCTTCATATCAACAAATTTAATTTATGCTATATAATTGTCCTGATCGAGAAAACATGAATCGATGTAAACTCTTCATATTAAAATTAATTAATTGCTCTATTTGAGTTATTGCCATTCATATATTTCGCTGAGTGCAACTGATGAAATATTTCGTAATGCTTGCAAGTCGGCAATGAATTTTTTCCTTTTTTCTTTTTTACTGTCAAAAAGTATTCAATGATAAATCTGCTTTAAAACGAATGGTTTATGATCATCACCTAATTTGAATGCAGAGACGTGGCTTGTTCAAGCACTGCCAATTTCCATGCTTAAACCAACGCGAGTTTTCAAGTTTAACCAAATATATATATGTACAGGCGTCCCTTGAATATTACAACAACAACAATTAATTCATACCGTGCTGTATCGAAACCGCGTTACACGAAAAAAGGTATACCGTGTAGTATCAAGTCCTTGTATTGCGTTATAACGGAATCGTGTTATACGAAACCTTGAAATAATATATACAAAAAAAGCAATGTGTACCGTGTTATATCGAAACTATGTCTTAAGGTGTACAATTTTACGATAGCTGAAATTTTCTTCCAAATATTCCATAAATGAAAAAGTAAGTTGACTACGCATACCACCACTCCTCAAAATTAAATGAAAGGTTTTTCAATAGTAATACGGTTAGGAGGAATTTCCCTTAATGAACGCAATTGAAAGAAAAGTTCAAATTTCCAATGCATATTTTATTTTTTGAAATTATGTCACAATTATCCTCAATTGTTGTACCGTACGTAATATCGAAAAGGCGTTTTTACAAGTACCGTGTTATACAAGCGACGCCTGCACGTATATTTTTCATTTCAAGCGTAGCGGCGGTTAGAGCAAAAAATTTCGGTTCGAAATTTTGTGTTGTAGTAAAGTACAGACCCATTTCCCTGGTCAATCAATATAAACATCCCAAAATGTCTTGTGTGTGATTGGCATGTGTTTAGAATCCAACAATCACAGCCGAGTTAAACCTATAGACGGTCTTGATAAACATTAAGATGAAGCTTTGCAACAATATGTGCAAGAGTTTGTAAATTGCACCTTTTTTTATAATATGTGATAAGTGAGAAAATATTGCACTGGAATCACGCCCAATTTTTACACTGGATCTGCAAACAGAATTTGTAGCAAGGGTTTATGGTGGGTTCCTGCCTGAAAGGCTTAACCCCAGGGTGGCCCAAGCCACTTTAAGCGTACTACGCCCCCTGGCGAGTTAGACAATCCCCACAGAGTAGGGGCCTAAACAATACCAGAGTCCAGAACAGTTTATTGTGTATGGAACAATAAACCCCACTCTGGTCAGTGGTGAGGCCTAGCTGAAATCTAGAATCTATGGCGTTTTAAATGAAAGGCAAGTTACATGCACGCCCATCCTTCTCATTCATAAGGAGATAAACGGAAGTGTTTCAATTCAAAACAATCAAAATTATAAAGTAGTGTGACACAATTTCTTTACTTTCCGTAAACTTCAGACTTAGAATGAAATGATGTGCGATGCTTCTAAATGTTGATCTACAATCCGCGCCTACACTCCAATCGTAAAATTGGGTAAGAATTTGTTTTATGCCTAGAACTTGGCAAAAATACTCAAAAAACAAGAAGTACAGCACAAGCTAAAAAATTAAAGATGCCTTTTCTAAAGATGCCCTGCCCTATCTCATCATAAATAATAATTTATTTAATTTTTTTTTTTTTTTTTTAATTATGATTGCTTTTAGCATCTAAACTCAGAATAGTTATTATTTATTCTAAATTAGATTTGCAGCCATACTGTGTGCGACATCACAGAGGCCTCACAAGTCATAAAGCATTTGTTTTGATTACGATTAGGGCCGAAGCTTCAAAATTTTATTGTCCCTATTGTGCCGGAATACCATTGACAATACAATTTGACAAAATTTGCAAAAAAGCTATGAAAAGAAAACTTTTCTTTTTGCCTTAAGATTAGTGATGAGTTACAATGATGCCAAGGTACGCGGCCGGCTGGTATCGAATTAAGCTTAACGTTATTTTTTTTTTTTATTATTTTTTTTATTTTTTCAATTTACGATTATTTCAGTCATGTTCTTCAGCCACATTGTATACTTTTTGCAATTATAAATGCATGCAACTTAATAGTAGTACAAGTAATTAGCGATTTTCAGCTTTTGTCTCACGCGCTCTTCTCGCGGGAAAATTTTAAACGCAAACTACGAGACTCAATGTCCGTTCGATTTCCCTATTTTTCGTTCTTATAATCAATCTCTGCACTAAAATCAGGCAACAATAATAAACGATAACATGACAAAGACACATTTTTCCAATAGCCAAAAAAGAAGCTTTCCGAGCTTTTTAAAGAACCAGAATAAGAATAATATTGTTTGGATAGATTTCTTAGTGTTTTTGGCATTATAACTATTTTCATGTTTCATTACTAAGTAGCTTTTGTAATTGCGGACACACTTACTTGCATCAATTTTCAGTTCGACCGGGAATTCAACTTTTTTCAAAATTTTCGTGCAACCGTCCGAACGATAGTCGAACCATTTAAGATGTAATATCAAGACAATTGGCAATTTTTCCAAAGTCATTTGTTGCCAAGCAACAACTTCCTGTTTAGTTTTGCTGCCAGTAACTCCCTCTAACTGGTCACGGCCCACCAAAATTTCCAAAGCCTCTTTAACTGAAGCGGCTTTCTAAAATTCATATAAATAAATAAATAAATAAAATATTAATAATTATTTCCTGCTAAAGTATGTTTAAGAAGGAAATGAAACCTTCAGAATGTTCACTTACCTCAATGTTTAATTGTAAGGTAAAGAATGGTTGTATAACGTCTGTGGAATGTTCGCCTTCACGCTGTAAACGTGAACGTAGCTCACCGCGAAATATATCGCTAAGAGGAGTGTGACCAAAATCGGTTTGTCGCGTGACACTTCCTTTATTACGATTATTACGAATCATCTACGAATGGAAGGTAAATGCGATAATTAAATAATTATTTAAATATAACTCTTAACATTCTCTACCACTAGAGTTAATTAATGATCGATTGATTACCTACCTGCCAGACATCGCCCTCTTCATTCTCCGATTGTTCATTTTGTCCATTTTGTTCGGCATTTGGTTTAGCAATCAATTTAAGAATCTATCGACGGACATTATAATAATATATCCAATTAATAATTATCTTCCAGTTACGGAATCGCATTTTCAAAGCTTACCTCAAGCATTTCATCGTTAAGTTTATTTAGTATATAGCTTAAAAATTCTTCAGCATCTTCTTGTCTACCCTCCACATGCTCTTCGCGACTATCATTCCATAGCTTATAAATTTCGGTAGGTTCAAAAGCGGGATCGCATTGTAATTCACCGCTTAGATCATCCTTGTTTTTCGGCCCCTTCGTAGTGCGTAAACGCAAGCCAGTTGGAAGGTTAGAAAAGTTTGACATAAAAGTAATCCTGAAATAAAAATCAGAAAATTACATGTAAAGCAAACAACTCTGAATGAAATTTTTGATGATTATAATATTTGAAGCTTAAAAAAAAAAAAAAAAAAAAACAAATCGAGCTTAGACTTATTTTAGAAAACTTTAAAGCATCTTTTGATCAGTCGCTTCACCTTCGCCTTCAAAACAATTTTTATATAAAAGGCATCATCAAAAGATGTCTGTCTACCCAATATATTATTAGATTAGAAATTTTTTTGTGCCTTTGTGTGTGCCTTCTCTTCAAATTACATTGAAAAAATTTACTTACATAGCATTAACGGTAGGCGTTTTGACCTCGCATAGCGCAGCTGCTTGCTTTGGTATCGAACGTATCAAATTATAGAATGGGGCACAGCCAAGCAGTGCTTGCAATATGGAATTGATGTAACAATAATTTGAACGATTAGTTAAGCCGCGCGGCCTCAAACTGACGGCCGTAAGATCACTCTTATATTTAGTTAAAAATTCAGCAAATTTCACGGTAAATTCATCTAAATTTACCAAATTATGACGCTGTGACTGAGTGTCTGAAGATTTTTTGTTGCTGGAGATTTGCGATAAGCCCTGAGCTGAAGCGGCTGAATAGGACATAGCACCAGGTGTTATCGCAGGTGATGCCGGCACAGCGGGAGTGTTGCCTTCATATGGCGCAACTTTAGCTATCGGTTTTTTAGAGAAGGGCGGTGGCAACGCCGGAGAAGCAGTATTACCAAAATTCTGAGATACTGTAGTTCCAGATGGCAAGTTCGATATAATAGTGTTATTGAATGGCAATGAAGGACTTTTATTACTATCGCTGAACAAGCCAGCCCAAGACAGAGCGCTAGGATTGTTGCTGGGAGCAACTGTCGAAGCTGGGGGCGCCAAATTTATAATAGGTTGTGTGCTTACATCTGTGCCACTAACGTTGGCCGTTGCTGCTGTTGTTGTTGTTGTTGTCGTGACCGATGTTGTTGTAGATGTTATCGTACTATTCACCGTTTGTTGCATTATTAATTTTTTATTCGCAAATCCAGGTGGATATTGTTTATTGCTAACGGCAGAATCATTACCGGTACTGCTGCCCATAGATGATAGATTCACTTGTGGCGTTGTCGACTGTTGAAATTGAAGCGGCGTGACAGTAGTGCTGGCGGTGGAGGTGGAGGGCACCGTCCCTATCGTCGTCGTTGTAGCAAATTGACTTTGCTTCCCTGTCTCAGATACTTGACTATTTTTACGGTCTATGGGATTAGAGTGAGTTGAGGTGCTAGATATTGGAGATGAAGGCATTTTCATTGCCCCATAAGTGCGCGTCTGTGGTTGTTGAGTGTATTGTTGTTGCTGTTGATGATAGTTATGGTGCTGCTGATTGGTGTAAGTCCGACTGCCGTGACCGTATGAAGAATTTGTTGATGTTGTCCCAGAACCAGTTACGGATTGCTTATTATATCTGCCTTCGTTGCTATTCGACGGTGTAGCCGTTACCGCTACCGTATTAGTTGATTTTTTGTGTTGGGATGAATTAGTCCAAGACATAGTTTTAGTAGGCTGCGTAGCAACGGCTTCGTTGTTGCTATTGCTTGAGCCATGATGCTGCTGATAGTCATGCTTGCGACGTGTCTGTTGTTGATTATATGATTGTGATTGCTTACGAGTTTCATAAGCATGTTGGGTATTGTGATAAGATGATGACGACGACGATGAAGATGCTGAGGCAGGCGCAGTATTAGTAGTAGTATGATAATGACCTGTTTGATGCTGTTGTTGAGATGGTGTTGCCGATGGTGTTAAAGCGCCCTGATAATGTGTTGCCTGCTGATGTTGTTGTTGTTGCTGCTGTTGCGGCTGTTGTTGTTGCTGCTGCTGCGGCTGCTGTTATTCTTGCGGATGCGGTTGCGGTTGCTGCTGTGGATGCGGTGGCGGTGGCGGCTGCGTTTGCGATTGTTGCTGATATGGAGTCTGTGTTATCTGCGTTTGAATAGAGCCCACAGTTTGTGTGTGTTGCGCCGTTGAAGTAGACTTGAAGCGTGATTCAGTTTGTAGTTGCTGCTGATGTATATACCCTAACGATTGCGGATGATTTTTAACCAAACTGGTTGCTATAGTTACTTCTATCGCGTCAGAACGCAATCCGTTGTTGTTTGTTGCATTGTCTTGCAATTCATTGCTATAAATATCGTTGGTCGTTGTTTCAGCATGTTGTTGGTGATGGTGCTGGTGATGCTGTGGCTGCTGAATCAATTGCTGTTGTTGTTGTTGTTGTTGTTGTGCTATATTATAATGTTGCTGATAGTCATTGGCAAGATTTTCAGAGCTTTGTTGTACAGTAGTTGCACTTTCACAGAGACTACTAATTGATTCCGCTGCATGCATATAATTACTATATTCGTTTGGCGCATTTCCACCATCAATAGTTTCAGGAACTAAAAAAAAAAGAAAAAGAAAAAAGAAAAGAAAAAAGGAAAGCGAGGTAAAAGAACTATTCGATTCAAAATGTTTTTTTTTTTTCATTACGAATGAATAAAGCGGACAGCCTGCGGTATCATTTATTATCATCATCCGTACCAAACTCACACTGCAATCAAAATCAACGAATTCAAGCTCAACCACTACAGATACTCGAATCTAATGTGTAACATTCATCATCTAATGGTTGCTGTCAGTTCAGGAAAGTAATTTTCAAGGAAACATATGTAAAAAAAAATCGTCTTTTGCCTTATGCTATAATGACGTTATGTACATAGTGTGTTAATCGAAGTCGAACACAGAGCAAAAAACATATCTTCTTCAGTAAATTATTTCGTTCATCAAACGCTATCTATATTCATTTTGTTGTTATATACTAACGAATAGTTATGGGGTAATTGATACGATGCAATTAACTTCGAGAGATAGCATTATAATCAAAATCAACTTAAGCCATATTGAAGAACGAGACGAACAAACACTTATTGCGAGTATTACGCAATTCTGTGATAACAAACTAGAATTTTCTATCGATATTATTAGTGGGCTATCAACAATTTTGTCAATAAGTAAAATGTACACCTTATAGTTTTAATAAATGTTCGTAAATTTGTGTCTTGAGGTAGATTAATCTCTTAACATTATTAACATTTTTTTATTTAATTCCGTTTTACGCATGATAATACAAGACTTGTAATAAACTGTAGGCGTGGCAGGTCTCGAAAAACAAATCTTTTTTGTGTCGAAATCTCCTTATCTCTGTGCTGCCAGAGCCTGTAGAGCCTTTTCCCCGTATAGAATCGCAAATGAATCATTTTATAAAAATGTAACTTAAGTTTTATTAGACGTTTCCTGGGATTTCTGCTTTTAAATTGATTACAAGGAAGAAGGAGAAGAGAGAAATTTCGTGCAGCTAATTAGAGCATGTTGTCTATCAATTCGACAATCCGATAAGAATCGAAGAAGCTTACTTAACACAAGTTGTCCCTCGCCGAGCTCGTAAAGCATAATTTCCAGAAAAACGCGTTTCACGAAATTTTTCTTCAATTATCTATCTAAGCTACCTTGCATACGATACTTATCCACAGTTGGTTGGTTTAAGGAATTGCAACACTTCATACATATTTTACATATTTTTGATTTTTTTTTTTTTTTCTTTTTCTTTTTATTATTACCAAAGTTATTATCAAGTGTTCAGAAATTCAGAGTATTTTTTACGAAAATCTGTGTAGAGCCAATGACTACTGGCATTGTGTGTGAGAATGTCTGTTTTCGGTATAAATTCGGACGAAGAGAGTCTTCTTTCGTCTCGTCAAGAAAGGATTGTAATGTTCCTTTTTGTTTCGTCTGTCTGTCCGTCCATAAATTTTTCCGAGATATCGATGAGTACTACGTCGGATATGGTTATTAATACTTGCGATTTTTTCCTATTTAATGTTTGTTGTTTTTTTTTTTTTGGTTTTTGCTTTTAATCTTCTCCCACTGTCTAATAATGAAATTGGTTTTACTCTCTCTCTCTCTCTGTCTCTCTTTTCAGAAGCAAACTTCTCGATTATTGCATTTATTATTTAAGTTTTCCTTCTTTGTCCATAAAGTTTCTTTGTTTCTTGTTCTAATTTAAGGTCATCAATTTATTCCATTATTACTCATACTTATATTTATATGAAATGTGTAAAAGAAAAATTCTAGTTTGGATGGCATTGTTGCGATATGAACTTTTTTTTCAACTGTACTGTTTCTTATTATTATTATTTAATCTAGAAAGATGTATATAATACATGTAAACATGTTAGTATTTTAAGCATTAAACGACGATTGTCTATTATTGTTGTTGCTTTTATATATGTAATACATTGTGTTACATAAACAAGAAAACGTTTGTTACTTTCAGCTGCCATAAATTATTGATTTGATTGCTCACGTAAACACTACGGCAGTGAGTATGTAATTGGAAGATAACAAGAGAGTTATAGTCGATTTTCTTCACCATTCCATAAACCCAATTCTCCCGCTTTCAATTTTAAAAAAAAAACAAAAAAACAAAAAAACAAAAAAAAAAACATTAAACAAATATTAGATATAGATCTGATGCAGAGGTAACTGGGACTTTAAGCAGCTTTCAACGGCATTTGATGACGAGCAAGTTCGAATTTAAGCTATGCATATATACCAGACATTTAAGTTTTGTAATTCACTCGTGTTTCGTTACCAACTACAAACTAAATATATATATGAAAGTGGAACTCTTAAACATATATATATAGTAGGTCTATTAATTATGCGACCGGATCGTGATGATTTTAACTTAAAACTTTTCCGAATCCCTAACAAGTATTTTTGTCAAATTATTGATGGGCATCCACTAAAATGCACAAATTTGCAAATCTCCTCGGGCATCTTTTATACAACTCGACTCCTTTACTTTCATCCACCGTGCCTGCAAGCATAGATGACATTTGTTCGTGAATGTCTGTTTACTATGGAATATCATTTTAAGGCATACTTGATACTCTCTCTTCATGTATGAGACTTGGGAGTGAAGCATGTAACTACAAAAAAACTAGGTATGAGTGAAAGCCACGTATGTGTTTGCTAAAAATTTAATCACGTTTAGCCGTCTGTCGACAATTTTCAAAATTCAAATTCCCCAATGTCACATGTAAGGGATTATAGGTGTTCATGAAGTGTTGGCGACACTGCTGTACTCCTTTGAACCACTTTTCTCAAAGATAAGTTTACATGGCATTTACCTATACGTCGCGGCCGCGCTATAATTAATTGTTTGATCGATACGACATGGGCGCGCATCGCAATAATATTGTCCACTTCGGGAAAATCGAGAGTAACACTTTCAGGCGAAAAGACTATCGTAAACATTGCTAAATTAATGACCTAGGTTTGCAGGCCATTACCATATCAAGATCAACAACATCGATCCTTATCACCAATGCAAAGTAACTTTCTTTATATATTACTCTGTAACGTTGTTTACGTTACAGAAAGTTTGTAAAGGAGAGACGTACTGGTGCGTGGTTTCATTTCAATACTCCCGATTTCAACATTTACCGCTTATTTACTGCTGAACCATTACAATGCTTTTGTAATACCGCTTACAATACTGGAATGTATACAACAACGCTTAATACTTTATGGCGTGTATCGTAACGTGCCCACACGAATCGCATAATTATAACGCAGGCCTCTACTTGCCTATCAGGTAAACGCTGTGATCAACAAGATTATGTCCTAGGATATACACACGGGACTCGGCCGTTTGAACGAACACAAGCACAAGCTAACTCTTCGGTTAATTCAAAATTGGCACAACCACTCTGCCTGAATCCTATTTTGATGTGGTGGAAAGAAGAGTCGACTCCACGCACTCTCGCTAGAATTATTCTTCAGGTTTACACAAGGATGCCACGCGATAAGCCCTCTGGAAAAATGCACGTAATTGATTTTACTGTTGGTCAGCGGCGGTAAGCCAAAAATTACTTATACTAAAAAGCAGAGGGAGAAAGTCAATTTGATTTTTCGGCTCAGCTCTGACCTTACCAGTTTAAGGCCTCCCGATCGCTTCAGCTAAGGCTAGGAAGTCTTTGCCAACCTGAATGTCATTTGTACTAAGAACAGCCGTCAACTCTCTACAGAATCATCCAGTGGTCTATCTCTTTGCAAAAGTGGAATTTCTCTTTCGAAAGTATTTGGGAAATCCACGAAGTATACAAGCATTGAATTTCAAATTTTGAGTTTTCGTATGTAGAAGTTTTAGCCTTAAAAATAAACGAGTGCATGGAAAGGCTGCTGAAGGAACAAAATTGATTCAAAATATCGGGAACCGAGAAGTACTTTCTCCTAATACTTGAATTCAGATGTTGAATATGAAAAATGTCACACACACCTCCTTAACAAATATTTTTGTGCAAATATCACAAGCTTTCTAACGCTTAAGAGCATTTTAATGTATATATATGTATACACATACACACAAGTTATATATATCTATACCTACATATATATATATATATATATATATATAGGTAATTGATCATGTGCATGCTCTAAAGTACTTTATATCATGTACGTATATATAAATAACAATAACTAGAATCTAATCTATTTTATGTATATATTACTGTTTTGACAAGAAAAATTCTTAATTGAAATCAATTGGAAAAAAAAAAAAAAAAAAAAAAAAAAAAAATTATCGCAAAAAAATGGCATGACCGGGGAATTTCTATTGGTTTTAGTGGTTGGCTGCTTTATTTTTATTGAGAATTGATAAACACTAAAGCGATAAACGTCATATCTAGTGGTGTTCGTATTGCGGATATAGAAACAAAATTATGTTTATAATAACATAACTGACATAATTAAACACGACACGTACGACTCTCAGCGTATCTTATCTGTGTGTGTTTAAGCAAACATTTGACATAAATAAAATTGTGTAAAGTCCGATAAATAAATCCTTGTAATACAATGTACGCGAAATATACAGACACATCCGCACACATACATTATGTAGATAAATTCTCAACTATAATCTAATACGAACATATGTTCACTCGCTTTATGTGTAATATATGATTGAGAAAGAACTTTCCAGTAATATTAGGAACCGCGCCCTCCTCATTCAATGCACACTTTAGCGATTTTGAACCGGATAGAAAGCAGTTGCATTCATTAGCAACAATATCGTGTAGAGTACCGCGCATATATCAAATCAAATATTGATTCAATCTTCAAGTGCTTTATTATAAGTAATTGTACGACCAGCTATTTCATTCCGCTTTATTTATGTATGAGTTTGTTGTTAACACTAAACTTTTGATTTTGAGAATTCCGCATAAGGAAATCGAGGTGTTATACAGATCTTATATATTGAATTTTTAGTGATACAATAATGCAACAAATATATATGCGTACGCTTTTTTTTTTTTTTTTTTTTTTTTTT